GTTTCCGGAAGTGCGGCCATTTTGAAAATATTTTACATAGATTCGGCCTTCAGAGTAACTCCTAAGTACAAATTTTCAAAAACCTACGTATTTTACTTTCCCAGAAACGTTTAACTAAAGCTCCCAAAAAAACACCCTGTATAGAAATGGGGTCAATGGTTAATAACTTTGGTACAGTATAAATGTGATTGAGTTTAATCCCTAATTTTCGAGTTCGAGTTGTTCCATTTTAAACCGGAACTTCTACATACCTGTAATTTTTATTGAAATATTTCGTCATTCAGAACTTAAGAAGAATGTTTTAGTTGCCTCATACCGTTTGTATTTAAAAACATTAAATATTAATTAATCGCACTTTAAACTACCACCACGTAATGCATCTACTTAATTGAAACATTTTGAATTCATTATTACATACACAGAGAATTCAGTAATTGTAATTTTACCCTTGAACCTCAATTAAGTGATTGTGTTGTAAAAGAAATTAAGGTAATTAACCATTTCGGGAAATGAGGATGATATTCTTGCTGAAATCTCTTACGGTGAACTAACGTTCTTTCCCGTTTATACAGGAAAATATTATTATATCAAAAGACGAACTCAATTGTACTATGTACATTTTAGGAATGTTTAATTACGCCTTGCTAAAATGGGGCTTTAGTCATTTGAGAAACTACACCCTCGAATTTAATGCTGTTCTGGTTGGTATTGCAGTCATAGTTTCAGCTGTATAAATATTTGGAACATAATTCACATTATACGTTACAATATGCACGCTTGTGGTTTGTAATGTAACCCTTATAGAACAGATCCTTAATTGAGTTCATTTTAGCTACTACAAGAAGCTTCATTCATATAGGAATCTAACTCTAATACACAGGCTTCAATTTGTTCCGTTTTGTGTGAAAAATCAATTGAGGCAAAATTGTCTAAAAAACTTTGAGAAAAAAATGGATCTCGTACTTCAATATTCCTCGCCAGTAATGCCATTTTCCTGACTTTTATGTAAATAACTAATTATACAGATAGATAGAGCATTTGCAGGATTGTTTAATTTAAACATAAAATTACGTAACGGTACATTCATGTTAGGCTTCAAATTTTTTTCGTTAGTTTTCCATTATGTAACTATTTCCCCGTGTAGGGGCGGGTTGAAGAATAACCCTACCGCAGAGGGCACTGCGTGTCGTACAAGGCGACTAAACAACAACCAGCCAACCGCAACCCCTGCGTCGAGGTTTGGTGGGTGAAGGGCGTTGGTTTGATAAGATTTCATCGATTGTGGCTTCTTTCCCAATTTTTTGATGAATGTTTCTCATACCTCAAAGTTCCAGGTAGTCTTTGGTTTTCGCGACGTTTCCAGGTGTTGTTTGACTAGTAGGCCACCAAGAATAGTGAAGATCCCGAAGATTCCTCATACCGCACTGCCCCACGGTAATCAGTTCGGTCACTGATGTCCAGGTCAGCACTCCCTAGTCCCTATCTAGGCGCCTACGGTAAGTGGCGTTTCTAGGTACAGCTTCTTGTTTGCAGTGTCAGAGGTGGGCCCTTTCCATGACCCTGTATGCCAATTTTTAGGGGCGGTTTCTCCAAATTAGTAGTAATTGAAGCTCAGTCTTACGGTATGGTGGTTTTATTAGATTAAATTTACAAATGACTTAAGCACTTTTTATTTCTGTAAGCAGAAAGTTACAGGACGCGCCATAGAATCTTTTTCATTCTCATCAACCCCATTGTTTAAAATGTACATGAATTTTACGCACAGAACACAATCAAATGCTTTTACCAGGTATGTTTCACCTATTGTTCTTACACATCTAATCGCATCTCTTGTTCTCATCCCTCTTCTAAATCCGAATTGGTCTTCTGCCACGTCATTATCCTCTCGAGCCTTCTTTTAACTCTCAACAATATTTTATATTATTCAGTTAGATCCCGCTAGCCCAGTTTATCTCGGACGCCATATTTTCATATCTTCAATTAACTCCATACCATGTGGAGACATCTGGCAGAACTGACCGCTTTATTTTAAATAGTTTTTTAAGCGTGAATTGTAACAAAAAGCTTAATTCTTTTATTGGTAAAGTTCTTTCAAAAAGACGGTAATAATAACTTAAACAATTAGCATCTCTTTATAGATGGCTCAAACTTCTGAGCGCCAACGGGCATATTTTCTGTACAATAGCCATTTTAGTATTCTAATGAAGTTCGTAACATAATTCTACATGAAAACCGCAACACAAAGCCATTCCTTTCATATTTAATTTAAAATATTGTTCAATCAAAAAGTTGATAAACCTGAGCCACAAGGGAAGATATCGTGAAACGACACCCTAACTAGAATCCGTATACGTAAATCAATATAGTAGGTATTTGGTATTTGAATCTGCAATTGGTAGATACAGCACTTAGAATCCCCATCATCCCAGCAATAATTTAATTGCTATTTTCAATTTTAAGTACTGTTGCATAAATAAATTGGTAATCCGTCTACATCCCACTAAACGCCAGCAGTCTTCATTGCGATAATAACACACAGAATGCAAATATGAAATTGCTTATTGATCACGCGGATTGCAATTTGTAATTATAGTTAGCAAGTACAATAAAATGTAAAATTATTTCATACAGATCGCATTGTTAATTAATTCGCTTATTGGACGAATATGATGATTTTTTGCTGCTCGGGAATACATTTTTGCAATTTTACGTATATCACAAATTCCTTTCCCAAAAAAGTACTAATTTAGAAAATTGTATTGTAATAAAGCATTTTTGTTCTCATTACGGAAATTTAAATTTCCGTTATTTAATATTTTATACTTACCCATACCTTGAAATTGGGTGTTTTTTGTCGGATGAAATCACTTATATATTTCTGTGGATGAAATGCCCGAAAGGGAATTTAATAACTCGTAATTAAATAAAGCTTGTACATTTTATTAAAAGCTTTGGTGTAGCCGTTGTGTGAGTTTTCCAATTGTAATTGCAGGGCATTTATTGTTGACCCTCTGGATAAGTATCTGCACATGTGTTTTGATCGGCGAATAGAATAGTAATAAGTAACATCAAATTCTAAACGTGAAGTAAGAACAAATCTTGAGTATTTAAATATTAAAAAAAATAATATTTGTAATTACTTACACTCCCTTTTCCCCTAACCCTTAAAACTTAACATGTAATTAATATTAAAATTTTAGAAAATATTAACCCCAACCGCCCTTAAACGCATGAATAATCAATAAATGAACTACTCATTTGTATATCCCACAATACTAATGGTGCTTTTTTTTTAAATCCGAGCGAGACCGTTTTCTGCGTTAAAAGTAATTGCTGTCGAGTGTATTTACACAACAAGACATTTTAATACCATTTAGGCGAATTACATTTCCATTACCGAGATTAGATAAGCCCGTTTATTACGAGGTAATAAAGTAAAAAGTTGATTTATGAATGTATAACAAAGGGAGGGGATTAGTGAAAAGGTGAAAATTTGGATTAATGGAATTATGGGGAAATTTCTCTTGTTGCTTCCTTGCAATAACAAGTTGAGAACATAAGCTTCTCCCAATTGACTGTAGTCTTTCAGTTTTAATCAATGATAGTAGCGGCCTATGCCGATGTTTCTTTCAATTTAACGGATATACTAATAAATTATAGGGAATGGAGCAGACATACAAGTTGTAACAAGGTTATGTCTAAATAATTTAGAAGCTGTTTTTCCGCAAAAGCGGAACATAAATCGGTGTTGGTTTATTGAATTTTATTCTATTGTTTACAATCTCCTTCATCCTAGTAAAGATTAGATTAATTCTACCCTTGCTTTAGTAGACCCCGATAATCCTTATTTAACACTTTATGTATGTACGAAAATTGACATGTTCTCCCAATCAGGGGTGGATGATCGATAGTGGGAAAAAAATTAATGTATGGAGAAAAAAGCGCTCTTTTTGAATCAAAATCATGGGTGTTTTCGTAAGTTTCACATACGATTTCATTATTATATCTCATATATATTCGAAATGCTCCAAAATGGAGCAGTACAGTTGTTGAAATTATAAACAGACAGACTATTGTTGTTAACAAAATTATAAATAATTTACTTCTTCCTTTTCATGAGATTTTATGCCACTAGATTGAAGTAATTTTTTTCTGGCGTTCCCGTGAATGGCGACATTTTTTTGTGAACATTGTTCTGTTTTCGCACGAACGACGGAACTAACTGTAGGACTGCACACCAAAATTTGTTAAACCACTGAACTGCATCTCCCTTAAAGGAGCATTAAATAGTGCAATCTAGTTTAACATGAAACTGTACGAATCTTTTCTCTCGTGTACCAGCGATTATAATATAAGCAAATCATGAACATAATTCAGAACTTGTGTATCAGATATATTTGTAATATTCCTTATAGAGAACATGTTACCCCCGCATTAATAAAACATAACGAATTTAAAATCAGCTGTCGTATTAAGTATGTATAATGTATTATATTTTTAGTTTCATTTAGATTTCCACGAGGTTTATTATTATTATTAGACATTGTTTCTGGTATCACTCGTGTGTGTTTAGTTTATTTATTTAGGCAACTAACTACGTTTCGGAGAGCACTCTTTCCCCTTTTTCAAGTTTAGATTGGCAATGATGTATAAATGAGGCTTTGAGAGGCAGCATGGTCTAAGTCCAAAAACTTTGTTTTTAGATAAATTAACCTAAAGTTGCACGTCAATTAAAAAATCCTGAACATAAATATAAACGCTTTTTTGTGATAATTTTATTTGTGAAGGTCTAACTAAAATATATAGATTGGAAGGTAGTTTGATTTTTAAAATTTTGTTACCTTTTTGACCTTTTTTGTGACTTAGACCACTATGACTTTCAATACTTTTTAATATATGTTTGGGTATACCACAATAATAGATTTTTTGCTCTCTAATAATAAGAACAAAAAGTTATTATACCTTTAAAAAACGTTGCAATGAGACACAATAAAATTGAAAACGTTTTTAAAAATTTATTACCAAAAGAGGAAATAAAACATAATTTATATGAAAAATAAAAACACGAGTATATTCCAAAACAATGGGGAAACTAACTGTCATCATCTTCTTCTTCCAATTCTTCAAGGGGCCCAGGATCTTCAACGTCACAATTTCCAATTACATCCTTGAAGTAATTTTGATGAATCGGAGGAATAAATTGAAAAAGTTCTTCCATATTTTTCTTCTTTTCAAGTGGGCCCTGATACAGAGACGAAAGCTCGATGGCCTTGAACATTTTAGGAGCACCTCTTCGGTTTGGCAGTAAACTAATAGCATTGAAAGGATAGTCTTCATTGAGCGTTTCTTTATAAAAAAATTTGTACGGCTCAGATTTCTTGAAGTGCAATCATTGAATTTGTAACCACGCATACTTACCTGAATCTGATGGCTCTGATGATGAGTAATCCTCTGGTTCGTACTCACTTTCACTAGAAGGAAATGGCTCACTTTCAGTATCACTACAATTCATTTTTAATGTCGACAAAACACATTTCACCAAGAAAAATGCAGTAATAATATATCTGCAATTCCATTTAATGGCAAAATGGTATAAGTCACATTTGTAGCATTTTGCCTTTGAACGAATTGAATAAAACGTTATTATGCAGATCTCACTAGCGCAATCTACAGGTCTAATTTAAAAGTGAGAATTTTTAAATTTTGTCACATGGTACTTTTCCCCAATAACATATAGAGGTCGCTGTTATCTCAAAACTGCTAAAGTCCCTAAAACTGCAATTTGTGCGGACTATGTACCACTTTGCCTTTCCAACGCCTCAAATGAAGTACGCTATCTTATGACAAATTAATTAATTTTAGAACGATTTCGTGTAATGGACCCATTACCTTAGTAGGTTAATTTAGATGTCAACGGCGAGAATCTTCATGCTGGAGGAATTTTGAATTTTGAGGGTCCAAATGGATCTAATTTAGGAGTAGAGCTCGTTGTTAAATCCTTCATCTGCAGAATTTGAATTTTGAAGGGTATAAACTGGTTCTAGTGTAGATGTCGAAAAGGTTAAATCTTCATCTCGAGAACTTGAATCTTGAATGTTAAAAATGGGTTTAGATTTGGTCTTGGTTATATTGTTCCAAATGCGAGGAAGTCGTAAAATATCCACTTGTTTATTAAGGCAATTTGGCCGTTTTTGAATTTCAATAGCTTCTCTAATCAGTCGAGCTTTTAAATGTTGTATTGGAGCAATTAATTTAATTTTGTTGGTGTCAATAAAATGTCCTGTGTCTAAATAGTGTTCACATAAAGAATAGGATTTATTATGTTGTTTAATTGCTAAATGGTGTTCTTTTGCTCGTATGTATAATTTTCTGTTAGTTTGTCCGATGTATGATTTAGAGCATTGAGTACAAGAAATTTCGTAGACGCCATGTTCTTCATTTTCAATTTTGTCTTTGGGAGTTCTTAGTGATTGATGTAGCTTGAAGTAAGGTTAAAAAATGGGTTGAAAGAGAGATCTAGGAAATTTGTGAGCTATAATATCGGTGACGCCTTTTATATAGGTATGAAAGAATTAAGGGAATTCTCTTTTCATTGTTTAAATTAAGTTAAGAGAGGAATTGGAATATGTTTGTCTTGCTCGATGACGAATGTAATAGGTAGGTATATTTATGGACACATACCGGTTTTACCGGATATGAATAGCAATTTTCTTACTTTAAATAGAACACCCTGCATTTAATTGCATTTTCTAAATCCACATGAAACTCTACGTCGTTGGGCACCACGTTTCCCTATACTTGTTCAAGATTTTTCAAAATGTTTGACGTTTGACTGCTTTTCTTTTGAGCCTTGCACGTATGACTCGGTTGACTTAAATTTCAAAGAGTCTTCCAAAATCAGCGATACTGAGATGCTAATGTTTTAAATATTGATCGCTCTTTTACAGGGTGTTTTAAAGCTAATGGTCAATTTTAATTATATACTTCAAACCTTAAAAAGTGGATTTTTGTCAAATATAACCTTTATTATTAAAACAATAAACTTTCTTGGGACTATTAGAATTTTATATCTGAAAAAATTACATGGAAGCACTTTATCAAAAAAGTAGAAAATTCCTGGTTGTTTTATGAAGACGTGGCGCAAAATTTATTACAAATTTGTTAGACAAATATTCGCCACATCAACTATTAGTAGTTCTGTTTGCGGCGATGAGTTCAATTTACCACGAATTCGTTACCACAAACAAAAAGTGTCGGGCCGAATTAATTAAATGGACCAGTTTGGTGGGATCGTCGGTGATTTTCCAAAGTGTACCGGTTATCCGACGAGTTCGAGCGTTTGCTATTTTTCTCATTCTTTAATTAAAGAAAAAAACGTAAACAAATGTCACAAACTTTACTCTCGGAGTAGAGCATATGCTAATTTTATGGTCCCCTAAAGAAACTTTTAATTGCAAACGTGCTCTGAACGTATAATATCGCACGTGAATTCAATTATGACGTAAAAGGAAATACGGACAATTACTCTGTACGTACCTACTTGAAAGTGCTCTCATAAAAAGATCTACTTCCAAAATGCGATCATTTTCACTAAATTGCGTAATTAGGCGAGATGGCGTTATGCAATGGTTTAATGTAGTTTATCCAAGGGATGTTTTTCGCCCTTGCATAAAAAAGCAACGTAACCCGGTAGCGTGCGCTGCAGGGCTCGTTTTTACAATATAATTAATAACTCACCTTAAGTAAGTAACAGATCCTTCTCCAATAACAAATGGAACAATATGAAACGTTAAACTGATTAGGTACCAACGTTCGTTCAAGATCGTTACTCACTGTCGAGGACAATGATTATAGGTGAACACCGATGCTACTGTTATTATTTTGTTCGTCAATGTCATCTGAATGGGTACCTACTGGTACGTGAGAAGGAATTTCGCTTTCAATCTGACGTTTTCGCGCTTTAATTTTATTCATTAGCGTGGGACGCGCTCATTTACATCGAATTAAGGCGTAATCATCTGAATGCAGATGAACACAATGCGTTAAACTTTTATACCGTTGAGGCCTCTAGGCAAACTATAGCAGCTTGTAGTGTACAAGGTTGCCGCTAATTTGGATTGGGCGCGACGAAGAACCATTATTCCGCAAAACATTTCAGCTTCGAAGCATTGAGTAGATCTATTCACTGAATTCATTTGTGTTGATGTACGCCATTATATAAATAATGTAACCTAGATTTGAAATATCATCACGCTCCATCTTTTGTGATGGAGGTATTATAATAATTTCACATTCTCAAAATGAATTTTCTCACTTACTGTTGGTTGAACCAATTTCAAGAAACTGTATACTGCTGAACAGACACTTAAAATTCCTTTCAAAGCAGCGAAATTGTTACTATCGGCTTCAAATTTGCTACACGATCATTACTTGCTATTTTGAACAGTTTTTGGATTCCTTTACATAAACCCAGTAAACAAATAAAGAAATAAAAAAATATAATATATAATAAAGAAAGAAATCAAAGTAGGTCTAGGAATTTTTCATTTTGAACAACTTTCCTTAATTTTGTTCGTATTTCGTCCCCAAAGAACACTGGTATGAAAAAAACGTTTTTGAAAATTTCAAAGGCACCCTTGATTTCCATCGCTTTCTCTACCCTTGCCACTTTTACCATGATAAATAATCGTCTAATCTGTTGAAACGGAGACTCCGTCCCACATCTTGTTAATCTTTTGATACATCTCAACTAAATTGGGGTGGTGAAAGATTCAGTGTTCCTTTTCCTATAACTAATAAAGATTTTTGTACACTAGAGGGAATGGCTGGGGGTATTCAATACCCACCAGGCCCTCTGGTGCTACCTTTGCCCACAAAAGCTTCACCATAAGGATTCGATGGTTTTTTTCTAAAAATTATTATGCGCTAAAGGCACTAAATATGTTGGGGGTAATGTAGAACCGGGCTGTCTGGGGGGTATGATACCCCCGATAAATTAAAGATCCGGTATTTCCTTTCCTACAACTATCATATGATTTCTTTGCTCCAGAGGGAATGGATGTGGGGTATTCCATATCCCCCAGACCCCCCGGTGCTACATTCTCCAATAAAAGGTTCATCTCTAAGGACTCAGATTCGATTGCCTCTTTGTACAATTATTGCGTAAGTGCTAAAGGCTCTAAATATGTTGGGGGGAATGCAGAACCGGAGGGTCTAGGGGGTTTGGAATACCCGCCAGGAAGTGAATGATTCGGTGTTCCTATTCCTATAACTATCATAAGATTTTGATGCACTCGAGGGATGACTGGAGGTATTCGATACCCCCCAGACCCGTCGCGGGTCCTACTGTCCTGCCAAAAGGTTCATCCCTAGAGACTCACATTAGATTTTCCCTTTTTAAGAATTATATATATATATATATATAGAGAAAAGGAAAATGGTACAAACACACAAACAATTATAAAATGTATCGTTTCACAGTTCACAAAAAATTACATTTTTCAATTAACACACTTTACACTAAAGACCGGATAATCGCAGCATTTATAGGGCCACCTTTGATGGCCAAGAATTATGGTACCTACATTGATTTTTCACTATAACTTTTTTAGAAATAGGCGCAAAACTATCCTTGTTTGGCATCTTAGCGAACCAAATAGCGGGAAAAGTCGAACAAATAGCTCTTCAGATAAAGATTTAGTAGTGGCATATCTGTACGGATGGACAGATGGACGCACAAAGTTTCCGCAATAGCGCATTTTTAAAATTTTATGGAAATGCGCTAAAAGTTCTCAATCTTAGTGAGGTATGTGCTAAGTGGTTTACTTTTCACAAGCAATGCAGCTTTTTTTACCATACCGCTCTGGCTATGTACTTACCGGAGTAATACAGAACTCTTTTGAAAAATAAAAATCACCATCCACCACTTTTCCATGTCCGGCCCAGGGAAAAGAACCACATAAATCTAACCAATTTCTACATTGCTTAGTAAAATCACCCCGAAAAACTTTAAAATATATTCCCTCTTGTTTTCCCCATGTTCCCTACTTTACTATTTCGATTCGTAACGATCAAGTTTAGCTTGAAAACAACATAAAATAATAGATAAATTCGTTTTATGTGTTGTTTCGGTATCTAAATTGGTACGTACCATTTAACCTCCCTAATTTTATTTACTACCAAAAACTTCTATTTCCCTACTAAAAAAAAAACCCGTCCTGTCAATGGCATGTTAGTTTCACACAAAAGCGTTCTTTCGATTATTACAGTTGCATGCGGAAAGTGTTTGATACAAAAAGGGCCGATGAGCGAGTACATCCATTTGCGAGTGTGACGATGTTCAGTTTTCGTGGCTCTGTGGTATTGATTATGTCATATGGATTTAGTCTGCTTTCAAAAGCTGCTTTAGATTCACTTTATCGTCTTTTTATAGTTGGAGTAGTTGACAAGTTCTGCGAGCGTCTTCAATTTACTTATGCAAAATTGACGGTGGTCCACAGATAGACGAAGGATAATGTACCTTCGTACCTTTGTCTATGCTTTTCTGTTTGATGGCCGCAGTGCACTTCAAACTTTTATTGCCACAATTCTGTCCTCTTTATTTACCATGTTTTTGACTTTGAACTTTTAGGGACGTAATCGATTGCGCGAGGGTCGGTTGTTGGCAGGCAAAGTTTTTATTCAAAAGTTTCCAAAATGTGTAGAAAACGATATTCATTAGGAAAATGCCAATACAATTCCTGAACATAAACATCGGTGCATTTTTTCAAACTAAAGGGTTTGTTAATTCCTATGTAATCTAATTTTATTGGTCGATGTTTAGGTCGTTGTATTAACAAAAACCCATTTAATCCGATATACATTTTGCTGTACGTACAAACTCCATTCCACGCGATTTATTAATGTTCAGTTGATTGTGCACGTTTAAATCTAATATAATTGCAAGGTATAAACTATATTTAGTATGAATGCCTCTGTAACAGTGGAAGATAATGAGTTTACACTACTTTAGATGATTGGTGAACTTTTGCCGGTTCTATAGTTGTAATTAGAAAACAGAAATTAAAATCGATAGAATATTATATCGCTTATATTGTCAAATTGAGTTTACTTTTCAGTGCTTCAGATTGACCACGCCTTAAATTTTATTACACTTCGTTGCAAGGAAACAGAAAAAGGTTTTAGGGGTGGAAAACCGCTTTTTTTCTGGTGCGCAAGGGAACTAATCCTGTCGAAAAAAGTTAGGCGTACGAGTAATTGTGTATGATAAAATAATGTGCCAAATTCTTGAAAGAACAGGTTCCTAGATCAAACCAAAAAGCGCCCTTTCAGAAGTGCGTCCAAAAATAGTAAGTGTAGGGAAAAAATGACCGCAACACCCCAATTCCTCTTGCTTAAATAAGAAAAAGTGTTTTCCTGAGAAATTTTGGTGTAGTCGATTTTTGGTAAAAAAAGGAAGGTTATAAACTGCCTTTTTTTGAGGCCCAAAAAAAAATTGTCTCAGATCGACCGGAAAAATACATTTTCTTATAGAATATGGCCTGTAGATTCTACAATTTCAAACAGTTCCAAGATTGGGCTACTAGATCAAAAGTTACAGCCCTTTGAATTTTTTTTCGAAATGGTTTTTAGTCCATAACTTTTGATTAAAGGTCTAATCAAAATAGTACGATTCGATTTGGATTCTACGCACCCAAATTAATTAGAAAAAGTGTTTTCCCGAGAAATTTTGGTGTAGTCGATTTTTGGTAAAAAAGGAAGGTTATACACTGCCTTTTTTTGAGGCCCCAAAAAAAATTGTCTCAGATCGACCGGAAAAAACATTTTCTTATACAATAAGGCCTGTAGATTCTACAATTTCGAACAGTTCCAAGATTGGGCTACTAGATCAAAAGTTACAGCCCTTTGAATTTTTTTTCGAAATTGGTTTTTAGTCCATAACTTCTGATTGCGAGGTCTAATCGAAAAAGTACGAATCGTTTTGGATTCTACGCACCAAAATTAATAAGAAAAAGTGTTTTCCCGAGAAATTTTGGTGTAGTCGATTTTTGGTAAAAAAGGAAGGTTATACACTGCCTCTTTTTGAGGCCCCAAAGAAAAATTGTCTCAGATCGACCGGAAAAAAACATTTTCACATAGAATATGGCCTGTAGATTCTATGATTTCAAACAGTTCCAAGATTGGGCTACTAGATCAAAAGTTACAGCCCTTTGAATTTTCTTTCGAAATTGCTTTTTTTAGTACATAACTTGTGATTGCGAATTCTAATCGAAAAAGTACGAATCGTTTTGGATTCTACGCACCAAAATTAATAAGAAAAAGTGTTTTCCCCTAGAAATTTTGGTGTAGTCGATTTTTGGTAAAAAAAGGAAGGTTATACACTGCCTTTTTTTGAGGCCCCAACAAAATTGTCTCAGATCGACCGGAAAAAAACATTTTCTTATAGAATATGGCCTGTGGATTCTATAATTTCAAACAGTTCCAAGATTGGGCTACTACATCAAAAGTTACAGCCCTTTGAATTTTCTTTCGAAATTGGTTTTTAGTCCATAACTTTTGTTTGAGAAGTCTAATCGAAAAAGTACGAATCGTTTTGGATTCTACGCACCAAAATTAATAAGAAAAAGTGTTTTCCCGAGAAATTTTGGTGTAGTTGATTTTTGGTAAAAAAAAGGAAGGTTATACACTGCCTTTTTTTGAGGCCCCAAAGAAAAATTGTCTCAGATCGACCGGAAAAAACATTTTCTTATAGAATATGGCCTGTAGATTCCATAATTTCAAACAGTTCCAATATTGGGCTACTAGATCAAAAGTTACAGCCAGGGTCTACAGTCAAGCAACGCTGCTCCCAATTAAATACTCGTAACTCGAAAACTTCCCTCGTTAAAACTGATATATTAAACAAAAAGTTTTTAACAGTTTTAAATCATTTATGCCTAATGTACACTGCCAAAGTTTTAACGAAATCAAAGTAACCGTTTTGCCCAAAACAATATTTTTGCTTTTTAACATTTTAACATTTTTTTCTTGATTTTTTTTTTAAATAAAACCTGTCCCGT